GAACGTGCTTGGCAGAGGCAATGGTGACCCTCGACCGGAACTTCTTGCAAAACGCACAGTGCATTGCACTCCATCAGGATGGGAAGGCTCACGAGCTAGTGGTTCGCTTCAGAGCAGTGGATGGTCAGTTGAACCAACGGACTGGCCTGCTGGGAATGAAGTCATTGGGTGAGCATAGCGGAGGGGCCCACCTAGCTCGTGTCACTCAGGATATTGTTTCTGAGTTCTGCACCGGCGATGCTCAATTTGAGAAACACTTCAAATCAGTAGTGGAGTTACTCAATGCAGACGCTGCCGGTGATGAGAATGTTTGCCTGAGAATCCTGAAGCGTGAGGCCTTTCAAAACGTGAAGGCCTACACCAAGGATCGCACGCATGCCGCCAGGCGAATATTGTCTCGCCCGTGGAGTGCTGACGAGACTTTAGCGACAAGCTTGGACAAAATGGTCACTGGACCGTCGAGCATGGTGACGCTGATTCAAAACTCAAATCATTTGTCGCAACTATTCAACGGCTTTGTCAAGAAGATGGGCTCAGATGAGGTGAAATCCAGTCGAATCAAAAATTTAGCATACCGCAAGCACAGATTTGACAGTCTTCAACGCCCTCTTGGGCGATTTGTCTTATTTCTGGATGCAGTGATTTCAGTGACAGTTTGGGTGACAGCCCACAATCGCGATGCATCAGAAACTCAGGTGGCTCAAGATTTCCTGGATGCTTTGTCAAACCAGGAACTTGTCTTGGTCAGCATGGCAGCAGATGCTGCAGACGAGACTTTGACTTTCATTCGCTTCCTTGACACTGAAGACCATGATGTTACAGCTGTGCAGTCCTATGCAGCAAGATTGCTGGACAAAATACACTGGCTGTTCAACAACTGCAAAGTCGTGACATGCGGTTATTGTGAATATATGCTCAAACAACTGGAAAAGAGAAGGGGCTTCCTGGTCAGAGACACGCCCAAGACAATAGGTGGATTGACTCAATCCAACAAGGATCAGGTGCTCTTGGAATGCCAACGTCGGATGCAGGTGTGGGTCAAGATGGCCTGCCAAGCAGTGCAATCTGAATTTCCAGCTTTTGATGTTCTCAGTGCCTTCTCTCTTTTCGACATCACCGCCGACAGCGCCGAAGATGATTCGACGCATGCAAGGTATGCTGCGCGCCTTGCAAAGGATCCTTCATTGCACTGGTTGTTTTTTTACTTTGATGCAGGGCACACATAGCATAATACTATTGTGTTACCTACATGCCTTTGAACCACGGGCCATGGGCCATTGAAATAAAGCCAAAACCCATCCCAGGTGTGCGCTGTCTCCGCTGATGGTTTGCTCTCGGAAATAGCTGCGCATGAGCCAATAGCCAAACATTTGTGGCAGAAAGGCTTTGCAAAAACAGCTTTTGAAGCCTATCGGCTTGCAGTGCAGCGGACACAAGCCAGACCCTCCAATCGTGAGCTGTTTCCAATTGAGAACTTGGCAAAAGTCTTGCCAAGGCTTGGCGCTTTTGATGGTTGCACCACGTCAGGAATTGAGCAGAACCTCAGCAAATTGGACACGTTGCTGACGAGTCGAAATCTGGAAGGGCGACACAAATTTCTGGAATTCAAGATTCTTTGCGATGGTGGACGCTTTGACATGGATGAGGTCTGTAGCCAAGCCAGGATTGAGTGGTCATCACGATGGGGGGCACCTCGGGCAAGCGCAGCGCTTCCCAGGATACACTCAGGTCTACCTGGTTCCAAAAGGCTGGCGTCTGAGGCCGAGTTCATCCGCAAAAGGAGACGGACAACGGAAGAGGCCCCTCATGTTTCTGCGTCTGAGAATCTGTGGTATATATGAAGTAGTTTTGTTTTTTATGTTTTAATTGCTGCCGTTTTGATTTGTGGTTTAATTTCTGCCATGACTTTGTGAATTTTCCATATTACTGTAAAGCCAAGGATTGAAAGACAGGCCGAGCAAGATGCGCAAGAGTTGCTCCAAACAGAGAGGATCCAGAAAGAACTTGCCTTCCAAGGCAAGAGGCAACTGCAGAACCGCATTCACACCTACCTCACTGGGGCTAGTACTGAAGGTGAGATAGCAGAGGAAATGGTCACCATTGCCAAACGTCTTGAGGCTCAGAGACTCTCGGATGATGCTGCTCGTGACAGGAAAGTGGAACGCGCAGCCAAACTTCTGGTTCCTGAGTACTCTTTGGGTCGTTGCACTCGAGCTTACTGCCACAACTTGCCACCAGATGCAGAAGCAAAAATTCGTTCTCGGTGGGCTCCAGGTCTTCTTCATGAGGCCAATCTTTTTGTTCTCAAAGACCCAGCGACGCCACCGAGTTCTGTACTCTGCACAGCAATTCTGCAGGGCGGAACTGTTGCAGATGTTGACTATGCCCTCCAGAACGGTGGCGTTGCATTCAGCTACGAGAGAGCAACCCAGACTAAGCGGAAGGTGCTGATCTGTGAAAAAGCTCGTCGAGCACACCCTGTGCTGACAAAATGCATTGAACGCGCTGCTTCTGCTAGCAATTCCAATTGGCAGTTGTTAGACGGCTGGCCTGCCTTCGCTAGCGCTTTGGAAGCTTGCAATGGGCCTCATTTGAAAGTGACATCTCGTCGCCCCAAGTTTGTCCTTGCAGTGACTGATAAAACCACAGCTGATGGCATGAAGAGGGACAGTATCATGCAGATATGGGATTTCCTGTCCTTTCTAAAAAAGGTCCACAGTGTGAAACGCAATGTGTGCAACCTTTGAGGTGGATGACAGAATTGAAGTCTCCAGGAATTCAAAGACACTTGGTGCAGTCTGGCCCAAAAGTGTACAGAATCGTCCATTAGATTGCACGTCAAGTTGCAGAGGATTGGGGATGATTGGGGAAAGAACTTGGTGCAGTCCGGCCTAAAAGTGTACAGAATCGTCCTTAGACTGCGCGCCAAGTTGCAATGAAAGGAATGGGGAAAGATTGCGATGACGCATACTCATTCATTTGTGTCATTGATGGTCGGTGTCGGCGCTGTGAGAGCGTCCTCCATTGAAAGCCATCTGCTGTTTGTGTGTTTGCTGTTTGTGTGTTTTTCCCAGGCTTATGATGTTCCCTTATGCTGTTCCCTTTCGGCGCTGTGAGAGCGTGAAGAGTGTTGTGCTTCACTTTGAGTTTTGCTGATTAGATGTGAAACATGAGACATGAGAAATCTTGATAGATTTGGGCTCACGACAAGTGCCTCTTGCCTGACAGGCCAGTCTAGTCTAAGACAATGGGTGGGAAGAAAGCTGCGGCGAAGGGGACCATTGAAGGAACAGTGCTGGAGCTGGCCAGCCCATTGAAGCCGTTCCAGCAGAATGCGATTCACATGGAACGGGTGAAGAAAGCCTGGGAGAGTATCATCAGTCACCCGGTCTTCGCAGATGTGCCGACAGCAGCGCCGCTTGGCATTGGCAACATTCCTGATGAGTTGGCGTTTCCAGGAATTGGAAGTCAGGCAGGACCATATGTTTCTTGAGAATGCCATTTATTGAATTATGTTATGTTTTAAATGCTGCGCAGCCAAGCCAGCCCTGGATGTTTGCTAAGCATGTCGGCGCTGTGAGAGCGTTGTTTCTTTGTCATTGGCTCACTAATCGCATTCGGTGGCACCAAAACAAAATCAAAATAGCCGGCGGTACAGTGCATGGACAATAAAGAGGTCTAAATGGCTGATGGTACGGCGTGTCTCAGCGCATTTGGGTGGACGGCGGCCAATCACCTCAAAATGCCATGGGCCGACGGACAACGAGATGAACATGATGGGTGGTACGGTGCATTTGGGTGGTACGGACATGTACTTCAAAATGGCTGGTGGTACGGCGCGTCAGCGTGGTACGGACAATGAGATCAAAAAAGGTGGGTGGTACGGTGCATTTGGGTGGCACGACCAATTAGCTCAGGTGGTACGGCGCGTCTCCCTGGTACGGACAGTGAGATCACAATAGGGGGTGGTACGGTGCATTTGGGTGGCACGGCCAATTAGCTCAAAATGGCTGGTGGTACGGCGCGGTACGGACAACGAGATCAAAATACAGGGTGGTACGGTGTGGGTGGTACGGACAAGTACTTCAAAATGGCTGGCGGTACGGCGCGTCAGCGTGGTACGGACAATGAGATCACAATAGGGGGTGGTACGGTGCATGTGGGTGGTACGGCCAATTAGCTCAAAATGGCTGGTGGTACGGCGTGGTACGGACAACGAGATCAAAATACAGGGTGGTACGGTGTGGGTGGTACGGACAAGTACTTCAAATTGGCTGGTGGTACGGTGCAGTGACCCAATGGATAGCTGAGAAAAAATCCATGAGATGTGATACCCCTTGCTGTGCACACCCCCGGGCGCCCGGGATCACAATGCAGTATATTTTACAGCTGTGCACTGTACCAGCCAGTGGTACAGCGCATTCCTGGAAATTCTTGGTGATTTGATCAGCGGGACTGTGCAACCCAAGGGGTACCAGTACCCCTTGATTTGCACAGCTGTAACATGTACGGCGTTGTGATCCCCGGGCGCCTGGGGGTGTGCACAGCAAGGGGTATCACATCTCATGGAATTTTTTCTCAGCATTGGGTCACTGCACCGTACCATCAGCCAATTTGAAGTACTTGTCCGTACCACCCTGTATTTTGATCTCGTTGTCCGTACCGCGCCGTACCACCAGCCATTTTGAGCTAATTGGCCGTACCACCCACATGCACCGTACCACCCCCTATTGTGATCTCATTGTCTGTACCAGGGAGACGCGCCGTACCGCCAGCCATTTTGAAGTACTTGTCCGTGCCACCCAAATGCACCGTACCACCCCCTATTCTCATCTCATTGTCCGTACCACCACCAAGATGCCCGTACCGTCCGCTACTTTGAGCGATTTGTCCGTACCACTATGTCCTTTGAATGTTTTTGGAGCGGGGCCAGTCTTGCTCTTCCCCAAGGTGTTTTGAGGTTGTCCCAGTCCATTCTGTTCAAACGCTTTGGCCGGCAGGCTGCCTTGGATGGCAAGACCTATGACATAGCGATGGACACTGCTCGCTGTGTTCGCGGTAGCGGCAGCTTGGCCTGGGTGGACTTGATGCAGTTGGGCCAGGCCAGTGTCCCGATCAACTTGAATGGGATCCAGCGACTGACAGATGAGTGGGTGGAAGCGTCACCGGACGCTTTTGCAGCGCAGCTGGCGCTCGAGGTTGCGGTACCCCACGACGCTGTTAAGTGGACATCAATCAAGCCACTTCTGAGAGGCAAGTTGCGATTGGTGAGCCCTGAGGAGCCAGTGCATGCGTTTGTGCTGGCTGTCAAGGACTTGATTGACAGTGGCGCAGACAACTCCGTTCTCATGCACCTTGCAAAGAATTTACTTTTCGCAGTCCATTTTCAATGCTAGATAACATTTTTTGAAACATAAAAAGCTATCAAAGAGATCAACCGCTCTCACAGCGGCCGGAGCCAAACAAAAATATGTAATATAAGTTCACATGTATTTGAGCAGGGTGTGTGGACCGTGCCGACCAGGCATTGGAAAGCCATGATGCTGAGCTTGCCAATGACATTCAGGCCATACAAGACTGACGAGGAGACTCAATGGACTGCCATCAACTTGCGCGAGGCCACGATCACCAGCTATGAATTGATGGCGCGCACTTGCCTGGGTCGCATCTTTGAGATCATCACCTTTGCCGAGAGGCCTGGTTTTGTAGGAATAAAATTTTGTTGTGACTAGACAACAATGACGGGGCACTTAGATGATTGTGTTTAAACCATTTGTCAGGCACAAGGGCAAGAGCACGCACGAGCTTGCTGAAACATGGACCGCCAATGTGCGTGCAGCTGTCTCGAAGCTGAGCGAGCCCGTCACGGAGTACTTTGTGCGTGTTGCGATCTCTGTGTACAACCAGTGCTTGAGCCGCCCGTGTCTTGATTGATCCAAGGGTACTGAATTGTTGTGTTATCTTATTTGATTTGATTGATCAAGACCGGTTTGCTCATGGTTGATGACGTATCAGGAAACTCCTGGATCTGATCATGGAGATCGATGGAGAGTATGGCAAGCTCAGCCCTCTGAATCAGATCACGGTTCTGGAGATTTTGGTTCGAAAGTGTGCTGGGGACGAAGCGAACATGACTTGCGCTCTTCAACACATGAAGTTCCTTCTGAGAACGTCTTTGATTGGGCCACGTGATCTGGGGACAAGATCCTTGGAAGGGGCCAAGGCTGGCAGCACTAGCCTAGTCTTGCTTTGGCTGGTGAAAAGGGATTTGACGCACGCCTTCATCAAGAAGATCGAGGTGTCAACAAAGGCAAAGCCAGACAGCTTGAAGGCGCTGAAAGACCTTTGCAACCATGACACATGGTTGAAAATGTGCGGTCTAGGGACTTGCAAACCTGAGGACGTCTCTTGGCAGGGCCGGCTGACACAAGCCTACAGGCTATGCTTGGACTTCTTGAAGATTGTGTTTCTGGATTTTCATGAGGGGCACGTCAAGTCTGCGATGAAAAGCACAAGGCAGGGCAATCAGATCTTGGAGAACTACAAGCCTTTCAGCGAGTTGATGCAGGAAATCGAAGAGCATTATTTGGAGGAGAGTGGCTTGCCAGCCAAGGCGTTAGAGGAGTCTTTGGCAGCGAATCGATCAGTGATTGACCAGTCCCAAGAGGAGTCTTTGAAAGCAATCTTCGCTGAGGATTTTGAGCTGTGTGACTCCGAGGATACAGCAGCACAGCTGGAGCAGTGGACGCAGGCCGCGGCTAAGAAGGTGGACCAGTTCTGCAAACTTTTGGTTGATGACCCAGACTACAACCAGATTGCCGCAGCTTTGCAAGGTTCAGTGGCTGGAAATGCAGATCTGGAGAAGGTCATGCTCTGGATTGATCTTTCCAAATTGGGCGAGGCGTCGTCAATGCCACACATCCGCGTTCCACCATTTCGAGCAGAAGTCTTCAAGAAGTTTGTCAAGTCCTTTGTGGCGGGTCGTGCATACACGGGCGCGCCTTAGCTGTCAAGAGTGAAATGGTTAAAGCTTTAAAGTTACCATTGTAAGTTAATCTTTATTAAAGCTGTCAGGAGACATTGGAGCGAGGTGACATGCTGGTGGTCAAAGATGGGCAACGACCAGGCTTGGAGACTGCGATTGCTTCCAACATGGCGCTGCCAGATGGAAGCGGACTGAAGCGGTCAACCACGAAGATCACCTTGTTCTATGATGATGATACCTATCAGAGCAGGAGAACAAAGATGATGCAATGTGTCAATTTGACCGAAACACTCATTGTGTGCACAGCAGATCCGCTCCATTCCCAAATTCCAAGGACTGGTGTTTAGTTGAGTTTAGTTGCACTTTTTTTTGAACTTTAACTTTTGGGTTGTGACATAGGCTGCTCTTCAACCGCCGCAGAATATTTGTCAATTGATGTCAATTGATTTTCTTGCGCAAGGGGACCGCGAGCGCACTATCCGCAGTCGACTTGGACTTTGCATTTGGGGCCAGTGCAGCTGCCTCAGTATGCTGACTCTTGGATGGTGCCATCTGAAGAGAAGCTGGGAATTATTAGAAATGTTGTTGTGTCTAGGCCACATCGAGTCATCCCATGGTGCTGTGAGAGCACATATGACAGAACCAATTTTCAATATTCTATACTTTTGCGGCGTCGTCGGTGAGGAAGAAGAATTATTGGGGTGCGGGAAACAAAGTGCTCTGTGGCGGCGCTGGGCCAGCTGTGGCCACGGAAAGCGGCGGCGCATCTGGTGGAAAGAAGCCAGTGTTTGACGATGGGGCAACGGAGCCCATCTTTTGGTTCCCCTTGCCCTTGGAGTTTTACGGTTCATTGCTGGCTGACTTCAATTGCAAGTGCATTGTCGATGTCATGGCAGTGGACGACATGCTCCCATTGGTGGCAATCAATCGCAAGACACCTTATGTCGGCATTTGCCCGACCAATGTCTCGCAGGCAGCTTTGGGGGTTCAGCTCATTTCGAAGGTCTGGAAAGGCATGAAGACCCCGAGCGATCCATTGTTCGAGCACGGGTTGATTCTTGGTGACAAGATTGTCATTCTTTGCGGCATCAAATTCATAGCTGTGAGAATTATTGATTTTGATCCAGCGATGATAATTTTTGAACCTAATTTGAATTTATATATTGCATTTCGCAGTTATCTTAGGGCAGATCTGCTTGCAGAAGCTGAAGCTGCTGACGCCGATGCCCCGCAAGAGCCCGAGCCAAAGCGGCCAAAGTTGACGAAGGGTGGCAAGGGTGGCAAGGGTAGTAAGGGCAGGGGCAAAGGCAAGAACAAAGGCAAGGGTGGCGCTGATCCTGCGCCGGCGCCTGAAAGCACGGCTGGCGGCGCCGATGGTGGTGGCAAAGGTGGCAGTGCCAGCAGTGGAGGCACCGCCGCCGGTGGCGGCGACGCAGCGGCGACAATCCTGGCAGAGTTGGCGCAGTTCAAGTGAGCCAGCTGGACACAAGCCAGCCCGCGCCGTGATGACACGGCAGCTTCATGAATTTGTTGGATAAGTGTGGCTGGTTTCATTTTCACAGCATTCGTGGTAGTTCACGGTGCGAGCGGCAGAGGGGAGTTTGTGTCTAAGATGTTTTCGGCCCTGAAGTCGCTCAAATGTGCGTGGAAACCAGCATGCATTGCAGCCTGCAGTACAGGACCAACCAGAGGTTGGTCAGGCCAGGCACAGACCATGTCGCAGAGACAAAAAATCAGAGTCATCACATGGTGCTGTGAGAGCACATGATACAACCAAATACAAAACAGTTCAGAGCATGAGTGAGAGCACATGATGACAAAAAAGTGAGGACTGTGTGTGTTTCATGTGAAATTGAGGATCGTCTTTGTCAAGATGACCAAGGCGGCGCTGACATTGACAAGGCAAAGACCCTCAAACTGTCAATGTGTTTGTTTCGCAGCAAGAAGATGTGTCATTTGTTTGACTTCTATCAGCAAGTGTTTGTTATTTATTGCCAGTGCCCATTTTTTAAGGCCGGGAGCAAGAGGAAATAGACAATAGCCGGTTATATAACAAGGTTCAAAGTTAACCGCAAGACCTATCATAAAGGGACAAGAAACAGATCTGTTTGGAACATGTTTTGGAACATTTTGGTGCACATGCCATTGCTGGAGCCATAGACGTTTGATTGAAGCAGGGCACACTTCATTTGCAAGTGGATCTGATCACTGACCTGGGGTCGCAGGATTGACTGCGTGGCCGGTGAAAGTTCGCCGGGAAGAAGTTGTGCTGGCCATGAAAAGGCCTGCTGCGTTCAACAATAGCCAGCTGCCTAAGCGTGGCAAGAAGCCCATCTCCATCGGCAGTTGTTGCAGTGGATGGTGCAGCGAACTGATCGCAGCAGACTCCCTGAAGTTGTGCTGGGAGTCTGAGTTTGCTTGCGACTGCGATGCAAATGTGGCTAAGTTGAATGGGCACATGCATAGCCACAAGCGCTGGTTCGACGATGTCTATGACCGTGCTTTCATGGCAGAGACGTGCTCAGTGGACTTTTTCATGGCGGGGTTTCCATGTCAGGACTTCTCGCTCGCAGGCAGCGGCGCAGGGATAGCAGGCTCCAGCGGGAAGGTCTTGCTTCAGGTGGTCACCTGGATCAAGGCCAAACAGCCTCGAAGTTTCCTGCTCGAGAATGTGCAGGGGCTATACCTATGCCACAAGGATGTTTTGCTCTGGCTGCTGAAAGAGCTATCAGATATGAGGGATGGACAGGGCAAGCCAGTCTACCGGGTCAAGTGGACAATATTGGATTGCAAAACTCACGGTGGTATCCCTCAATCCCGTGAGAGGGTGTTCATTGCGGGTGTGAAGCAGCGACATTTGACAGGTTACATTGAATGGCCACAGGAGGCCAGGTTTGATGTCGAAGACTTATCTATATATATATATATAGTATATTGCCAAGTTAATTACATAGTTTCTAAAATGATATAATATATTGTTTCCAATTGACACGCCGACAATCATGTCAGGTCCCCATGGTGCCGATTACCAAGTTCATCAAAGGCGGGGCAAAGCCAGAAGGGATCAAGTTTCCTGGCCTGATGCCGACTGGTGAGGGTGCAAAGCAAAGATTGACAGCGCAGCTCCAGAAGATGCGTGCTGAAGGACTCGACCCATTGAGCGAGCCTTATGTGATTGATGTTGATGGTTCCAGCATTCACCTGCAGTATGGCCTTTCACCGTGTTTGACCCGCACCCGCTGCGGCAACGGCGGCCATTGGCTAAGTTGGAAGCAAAGGAAAATGACACGAGATGAAGTGTTGCTTCTGAGCGGCATGGATCCCAAACGGGTGCCTGAAGGGATCATCACAGACAAGAATTTGTTGCGCATAGCCGGCAACGCTGTGCCAATACCGCTGTTGGCCCGGGTCATGCGTAGTGTTCTTACGGCTGCAGGTCTGCTTTGATCTGGCCTGTGCAACAGAAAAGGTCGCTGTATAAAAAAGAACCAGGTGCTGTGAGAGCATTCGGTTGCTTCCTCGCGCGTGGCTTTGAAACCAATGTTTCTGTCAGGTGCCCTGTCTACGCATTCGCTGTGTCCGGATGCCAAAGTTTGATGTTTTGGACGTTGTAACTGCACTTCAACATTGAATTTTAAGCTCTCACAGCTTCACAACCTGTCATTGGTTTTTCTTTCAACCAGCTTTTGGTGAAGTTAAAATGCAACTGAGTTGGTTTTTGTTTTCTTTGCATTTGTTTTGCTAAACCATTCCTCGCCGCCATTCTTGTCGTTCTTGTCGTTCGAGGAATGCCTCCAACATTGCCGTGTCCTGAGTACTCAAACATGAATCAAGCCACACCCCCACAAAAAACAGGTCTTAGTCTTCAACTTATCTTCAAAGTCAATTGGAAATGACACCTCAAACACTGCCTTCACGACTGTCCTTGACGTATAAAGTGCACTTCACGACTCAATGAAAACAACACAGGCTTCCTGGTCTTGTTCTGGAACGGTGTCACTAAGTATCAGGTCGACAGGAGAGACATGCACTGAGGCTGTGAGAGCCGTTTGGGATTGCTGTTCAACAGCAGTGTTGTGTGTTGTTCGATTGTGACAGGCTGCCAGGCCTGATTTCTAGACAGCGAGCTGGTGTTTCCAAAGCAAACTGCAAGCCTGGTTAATGATGGTTCTTTGAAATCAGGTTAAAAGCAAGGTTGTGCTCATGAGACTGTGACACCATGACACCATGTCTTTTTCAGCGTAGAGACCAGTTCAATGACGCGCATTATGCCTCACCATGCCTTATTGACATGGCTCATGGGCGATGATGTCTTAGACATCGTGATACCGCGCTCCGCAATTTGCGCAAAATTTATCCTCTTGGTGCGACCGCTTACTGCCGCATTGCCCACAAAACCGCTGAGGTTGCGATGCCTGAGCTCGTGCAATACCTTGATCTTGACCTGCAATACCCTGCTTCAAAATATGTTTGAACGAGCTTTGCATTGCTACCCTTTGGCGGTCAAGTGTGGGAGTATCGCACCGGGCCTGTAACATGGGAATCGAAGTCCCGGTGATTGAGCTTATGATAGCCCAGCTCACCTCAGCTTCCACCATCAAGGTGACAGCGGTCTTTTTGAGCGAGTGTGTGCCTAACCTGCTCAAGTCAAACTCATCGAAGCAATGACCTTCAGTTGCTTCCGAGCGTTCTTTATCAAGGATGCTGGCCGCCTGTCGGATACGGTCGTGATAGGCGTGCTCCGAGATTGTCTTGCGCCAATCTCGGCGTTGCCCTGTCACGTCATAGCCCGGGAACAAGGGCAAACCAGCATTCCTGATATTTTGACCAGTTGCAGGCCATTTGCTGCCACTCGAAGCAGTCAAGGGCTCTTCAGTTGCCCAGCTCCACAGTAGTCCTGCAAAAGATTGTGGCAGGGCAATGTCACGCTCCACTGTTTTGCAATTCACCCGCTCAATGTGTACGCGGGTGGGAGGGCCTCCGTCTTTGCCGCCTTGAAGCCAGCCCCATCGTGTTGGACGGGCTGCGTCGGCCCTCTCTCCCATAAAGAGTTGCAAGAGCAAAAGCACCGCTGCCCAAGGGCAGATTGCAGCCAACACTGTGAAGAGCTTCACCACTTGTGCCTGAGTCAGGCTAAGTCGACCACCTCGACTTGTCTTCTTAGGCCGCTTTTGCTCACATTTCTTCTTGTGCTGCTCGCAACAGAACTTGACAGCCAGGATATTGTTCTTGAGAGGGCGGCAGAGATCTAGATTTGTCTTTGCTCGCGTCAGCCTTAAGTCTCTGCCCACATTCTTCACATCAACGTCGTTCCGTTTGCAACCCTTCCAAGCGCATTTAGCCTTGATGGGGCTTGCAACCTTTCTGACGGGCCCTCTCTGTCCGGCTGCTTTGACCATTGTGGGTGGAAGTCTGGAAAGTAAACAAGCCCAAGACACGAAGTCTTATTGATTTGAGCTGTTTTTCCTCTTCAGGATAGGCTTCCGTTTTGGCTTCTGGAATGGTACCGGATACGGAAGCGGAGAAGCAAAGATGAGGAAAACCGCCCCAAAACACATGGAAACGAGCTCATGCGCGCACGCACCAAAAGGAAAGGAAAATAAGACTTCTAAGGGAAAGAAAGGGGTGAGAAAGGGGTGAGACTTCTCAGAGAAAGAGCGGGGAGAGAGGATGTAAGAGACAGGGAAAAGGGAAAAGAGTAGAAGAGCAGCGCCCACTCTCACAGTGGCTGGAGGAAGCTGGGAACGAACTGAAAGAAAGGGAAAAGACAACATCAAAGAGAGCGCCCACTCTCACAGTGGCTGGAACTGGAACGAACGAAACGAAAGAAAAGAACGCCCGCTCTCACAGCGGCTGACAGACTATTAAACTATGTTTCATTAATGAATGACTCCTATGAAATTGACGAATGAATGAATGAATTAATGAATGAATGAATGAATGAATGAATGAATGAATGGATGCATGAACTTCAATCTTCAAGTGCATTAATGAATCACAAGAATATGACAAGAATACATCACAGCGCTCTCTTAGAACCGCGCCGCCACCAATCTTGCGAGCAGTGTTGTCCTTGTGCCTCGGAAACAGAAGCAGACACGACCACATTATGGGGGCGACGCGCGCTCTCACAGCGCCAGCGCCAGACTACAGGACTCCAAAAGGCAAGGCGCTGTGAGAGCGCGATTGAAATTCACTGCACTTGAGACACTTGAGACTGTTTTCACTCGCGAGGAGCTTGGCGTTGCATCGCCGCCGGCCGTGGTGGCCAAGGCCCAGTCAGTGCTATCAGGGAAGCACAGTTAGAATATCGAGACCCACAGATATGTATATTCCAGTTGCACTCCATTTTGAATATGTTCTGTCTCGACTTGATCCATACTTGTATACTGTAAGTTTTTTTCCTGATTCTAACTAACTCACTGTCGTCATGTACATGTTTGTTATGCTTCATCATATTCTAACTGTTTTTCCCTGGCTTCTTTCCTAAAAACCACACACAGTTAGGTTGCTGGAACCTCCTGGTCTGAGCTTGAGAGGATCCCAGCCTGGCGACGCTCTTCGACTGAAAGCGATGCCATCCAACTCATCAGCCAACCCCTGTTGGCCTCAGCGAACTGGATCTGCTGCTCACGCGTCATTGGCTCAGCTGGTCCATATGCAGGATCGGAGATTGAGGTCGTCGCCGCCGCCTTTCGTCTGGCGGCCTTTGGTCTGGCGCCCTTAGCCTTCTTTGTCTCCGGCTCCTGATCGTCGTTGATCTCGTCCCCAATCCGCTTCTTGCCCTTCTTCTTTGCCTTCGCCTTGGCAGTCTTCTTCTCCTCCTTCGGCGGCTCCGTCAGCCTTGCTCTTCTCTGCTTTCGCCTCCTTGGCAGTCTCTTTCTCCTTCTTCGGCGGCAGCTCCTGGTCGGCCGTCTCTGCCTTCACCTCCTTGGCAGTGTTCTTCTCAGTCTCCTCCGCCAGCTCCTGGTCCGCCGTCTCTGCAATCACCTCCTTGGCAGTGTTCTTCTCAGTCTCCTCCGCCAGCTCATTCTTCTCGTCGAGCTTGAGTTTCTTTTTTGCCTTCTTGTATTTCTTTTGGAGGTTGCCGATCTTGTCCTCCGCCTGCTCCAGTCTCTGTTTGAAGTCGTCGCGACTCTGCTTCAGCTTCTCCGCGATCTCGATGGTGCTCGTGAGCCGGGCTTTCCAGTGCGCCGCATCACTTCGCTCCGACATGAGCGACTCATCCTTTTCTCGAAGCATGCTGTAGAGGGCGTCGTTTTCCTGCAGGTATTGACAATGAGCATTCACAAGCTACATTCACCTGCAACAAAAAAGCGCTCTCACAGCGCCAAAAGTGCGCTCTCACAGCGCCGCAAACTGCACAAAAACAGTGACAGCCTTCGACTTCCTCTCCAGGTTGTCGTTGGCTTGGCTCAGGACGTCGGTGGCATCGGACAAGTCCTGACACATTCACACACGTGAATAGACAACTTTCAGCGCGTGCAAATTATATATAAGTGATGCGCTCTCACAGCGCCACAACAATGACTGAACATGGCTGAGCCTTGATGAGCTTTGCTTTCTCCTTCAAGATGTCATCCACAGCCTGCGGAAGGGTGCCATTGCAGGAACATATCTTTACAAAACAAAAGGTTCTTGAAAACACAGTTTTGCAGTCTCAAACTAAACAAGGCAGAAAGGGGCCTTCAGAGCGTTGGTCAACTCCTGGTGCTTGAGAGCCGCTGCTGCCTCCACGGCATCTTTCTCGCCCTGCAAGGCCTCTTTCTCGCTCTTCAAGGCATCTTTCTCGCCCAACTCCTGGGCCAATGTTGCCTCCAAGGTCTCTTTCTCGCCCTTCATGGCATCCTTCTCTTTCTCAGCTTCTCGTTCAACTCACACCAACGGCGGGATTCGCGTTCCTCGAAGCCCTTCGAGCGGGCGTACCCCGCGCCATAATTCGTTCCCGGTGGATGGCGAGACATCCCTGTAACAGTGAGTGGATGATGATGGTTAGTGAAGGCCTTGTTCAAAAA